GTGAATGTACGGAAATGTCTGTGCCTGTGCATAAATACAATGTGCGATCAGTGCGTCAAGAGCACTCATACAAGCATTAATATAACGGACTCATGTGTGCTTACTGTAAGACTCCTGTACGCCACCGCAATCATCTTTACCTTGATTGCAGTCTTCATCCATTAAAACTTTACTAGCGAGACACTGGTTATCCAGTCAAGAAACCGTAGTTTGCGTCTCATCTGGCCATACAGCGGTGGGATGTGTTGACAATCCGTTCAGTCTGTACTTCACACAGCACGTGTGACGTGTGAGGGGGCTCGCGCTCTTCAGAGACAATCACAGAATATGACAGAGCTGGTGTTTTAAAGGGGTCATATCCGTAGTTTGCGTCTCATCTGGCCATACAGCGGTGGGATGTGTTGACAATCCGTTCAGTCTGTACTTCACACAGCACGACGCGTTAGGGCTCGCGCTCTTCAGAGACAATCACAGAATATGACAGAGCTTGTGGTTTAAAGCGAAACACACTGGAATGAATAATTCACTGAAAGCACAACGCATTGAATGCATTCGCTTATTGGATCATTGGACTGAAAATTTTCCCGGAGTTTAGCGGCTTAAAATGATCTGATTTCAAGCGATCAAAAATACAGTTAAAACAATACTGTGAAATATTAATACAACTATTTTAAAATACAACAATTTTAAAATGGAATTTTTGTAATGGCAAAGTTCAGTTTTCCTTGTCACATGATCCTTCATAAATCATTCTAATATTGTAACGGAGCAGACGAGACGTGCGGATCCATATGCAAGCTTTTTATTAAAAGACGTGGTCACAAACACAGGCAGGGTCGAAACACCAGCGAACAGGTATGGCACGGGCAAAACACATGAGCAGTCCAGTAAACAGGAGTGGGTCGATCGACGGTGAACAATATCCAACAGGGCAAGGCAAAGATAAATAATCCAGGTACACAGCAATAATCCAGTCAGGGGCAAACAGAGTCCAAACGGCAAGACGAAGGGGGTAATCCGAAATACACAGGTGAGAATCAAAACACGGGAAAAACAGGCAAGGCAAGACTATGAATAAATTGGGAAAGGTAGAGCAGGCTCCGTAAAGTAGCTATCAACTAAACATTGATAAACGCTAAACAATACTTTGGCGACTTGAGCAGGATCTGGGTGGATGTTATATAGTGTGTGTAATAGCTTTCAGGTGAGTGTGTGGTTGCTTACAGCTGTGTGCAATCAGTGCAATGGATGATGGGAAATGTAGTCCAGGGTATAGTGTAACAGTCTGTGTAGTGTGAGAGTCCATGTAGTGAGCGGGGGACCTCTGGTGGTGAGTGAACAGAAGTTCATAGACCGGATTCGTGACAAATATGCTGTTCAAAATACATTTGTTTAATGGCTGTGCTGCATAATTTTGCGGAAACTGTGCAGTATATTTTTTCAGGATTCTTTGATGAATAGGAAGTTTAAAAGAAAGCATTTAATTCAAATATAAATTTTTTGTAACAATGTAAATGTTTTTACTGTTTTTACTTAATTTCTTTTTTAAAAATATCAAA